AAATTTGAAAAAATTAAGTTTTAAGCATTTTATTGATAAAAATCTTGTTCAAGCACAAAGATTAAATAATGTTCCATGTTCTCGAACATGTTTTATGATATGTTTGATCTTTTCGACCCTTTATTTTTTAAAGATTTGGAATGATTAAGGGCCGGTTTTTCAATCGTTGGCTAACTCCTAACTTAAGATTAATTGTCACTTTATTTTCTTATGTTTTAGTGAAGAAGCAATAATTTCCTGTTAACATACAAGTTTTTAACAAATAATGAATTTATAAACTGATGTTTAATTTTTTTTTCTTTACTAAACTATGAAATCTCCATTACAAAAAGTAACAATTAGTTAACCAGAGATTACCTAACCGACCCTAAATTGTGCAATTATTTCAAATAAATTTACCTTATAGCTAATAAAAGAATTTTTCCCTTTCAACTTAACCCTTATAAATCACCCCTGTGCTAAAAAATTATAAAAAATTACGTTTTAAATCTTGGAATGCTATAATTGTGCAATAATTTAAAATAAAAATTCCCATGTATTGTTTATGAAAAAATATTTTACTTTTGCCATTTTCAACTGTTATAAACTACCATTTTACGAATATTAATGTAAAATATTTTTATTATAGTCGATTTTGAAATACCTATAATCAATCATAAAAAAATTGCTACGCTGCATATAAATAATCACACTAAATTTTGTTACTTATTTTATTTGTATAATATAATATATAATATATAAAAATGAGCAAGCCTATTTTGCTCCGAAAAAATGTCATTGGTTTTTTTACCATNGATTTATTCAAATATCTATCATAGTTTTATAGAAAAATGATTTTGATGTTAAGGGTTGCAACCCCATTTTTTAAAAAATGAGCAAAGATAGAGCTCTGATAATTGATCAAAAGTTATTTCTATCAACAAGCAACACACTGAAGACACCATTGTTAAAAAACACGCCAGTGCAGATTTCACATGGAAACTCGGTGAGACCCTTTACCTTATAGCTAATAAAATAATTTTTCCCTTTCAACTCAACCCTTATAAATCACCCCTGTGCTAAAAAATTATAAAAAATTACGTTTTAAATCTTGGAATGCTATAATTGTGCAATAATTTAAAATAAAAATTCCCATGTATTGTTTATGAAAAAATATTTTACTTTTGCCATTTTCAACTGTTATAAACTACCATTTTACGAATATTAATGTAAAATATTTTTATTATAGTCGATTTTGAAATACCTATAATCAATCATAAAAAAATTGCTACGCTGCATATAAATAATCACACTAAATTTTGTTACTTATTTTATTTGTATAATATAATATATAATATATNATCTTTTCGACCCTTTATTTAACCCTTAAAATTTTTTAAAGATTTGGAATGATTAAGGGCCGGTTTTTCAATCGTTGGCTAACTCCTAACTTAACAAGTTTTTAACAAATAATGAATTTATAAACTGATGTTTAATTTTTTTTCTTTACTAAACTATGAAATCTCCATTACAAAAAGTAACAATTAGTTAACCAGAGATTGAAAAACCGACCCTAAATCGTGCAATTATTTCAAATAAAGGGTCTCACCGGGTTTCCACGTGAAATCTGCACTGGCGTGTTTTTTAACAATGGCGTCTTCAGTGTGTTGCTTGTTGATAGATATAACTTTTGGCCAATTATCAGAGCTCTATCTTTGCTCATTTTAAAAAAAATGGGGTTGCAACCCTTAACTGCAAAATCATTTTTCTATAAAACTATGATAGATATTTGAATAAATCCATCAGCATATGAAAGCTACTGATAAGAATTATATTGCATATTTTTTTCATAGTTTTTCAACTATATAAACAGTGAGAAAAAAAATTGAAAAAATGAGGGGTGGTTTTTTGTGGCTATTTCTTGAGATCCACTAACCAAAAAAATCACGTATAATCAGTGAATCTTAAGCTACAATGCATAGCAGTTACATAAATCTGCGATGGGTGGATCAAATTTAAAATAATCATTTTATGTTGCTAGGTACAGTATTGTGAACTAATACTTGTTAGATCTTTGTAAAGTTGCAATATTTGTGTAAGTTTTAACTGACGTATTATACTTACAGATATTATATAAAAAGATATCGGCATCCGATTTTGTCATAATTAGTCTGAAAATTAAATCTTTATAGTATGCCTGTAGACTCACAATGGTACGAATATTGTATCCCAATGTCACCTTGGAACAAATGGAACAAAATCAATTGCGCGTGCGCAAGCTAACAGCTGATCCAGTCATGCAGAGGTTAAGTTCTACATTGTTCAGGGGTGAATGATTCGTTTCTATATTTTAAAAATAATTATAAATAAATATTAAATATGCGACCGAAGATTTTATTGTATGTTGAAAATTAAAAAAATCATTATTGTGAAGACTGGTTAAAATATTCGACATTACATATATGTACTCTTCACATCAATTGAAGCTATAATAAGGCTAGAGAGTATAATATTCGGTTGGATATAATTTTGCATAGGTATTTTTTATTTTGTTAATGTAAAATGGAAGACAATAGCGGTATACAAAATAAATGTATTAACTGTAATCGAAATAAAAAAAAATTGTTGGATTCCATTTTACAATAATATAAAGGATTTAACAAAATAAAAAATATGCAAAATTATATCCAACCAAATATACTCTCTAGCCTTATTATAGCTTCAATTGATGTCAAAAGTACATATATGTAATGTCGAATATTTTAACCAGTCTTCACAATAATGATTTTTTTAATTTTCAACATACAATAAAATCTTCGTTCACATATTTAAATTTATTTATAATAATTTTTTAAATATAGAAACGAATCATTCACCCATGAACAATGTAGAACTTGTAGAACAGACTGGATCAGCTGTTAGCTTGCGCACGCCCAATTGATTTTGTTCCATTTGTTCCAATTGTGAGTCTACAGGCATACTATAAAGATTTAATTTTCAGACTAATTATGACAAAATCGAATACCGATATCTTTTTATATAACATCTGTAAGTGTAATACGTAAGTTAAAACTTACACAAATATTGCAACTTCACAAATATTTCACACATCACTGTCCTAACAAGTACGAGAATACTGTACCTAGCAACATAAAATGATTATTTTGAATATGATCCACCCATCGCAGATCTATGTAACTGCTATGCATTGTAGCTTAAGACTCACTGATTATACGTGATTTTTTTGGTTAGTGTATCTCGAGAAATAGCCACAAAAAAACACCCTTCATTTTTTCAATTTTTTT